AAGAAGAAGAAGAAGAAGAAGAAGAAGAAGAAGAAGAAGAAGAAGAAGAAGAAGAATCACCTTATACATATTTCCAGGTCAGTTAAGCAATCCTCTATATGGTCACCTATAGTCAGGAGGTAATTCTCGGTTTCCAGCAGCTGCCTTTCCTCTCATGGCTTCTGGATTGTCCAGGTGCTTGAGTGCATTTTGCACTCTCCCCATCAGCTTTTTGCCCTGTGGGGGACAGAAAAAGCAAAGCTCCGCATTAGAATGGCACGTCAGAAGGAAGGCGAAGGAAAGGGAGACCCCTATTGAGGCTACCTTTTGAGGCTAGGGGCCCATTTGAATTTGGGGGAGGGGATCTTCTGTGGGCACCCTCTCACCTGCATCAGGATTGAGTCTCCTCCTCCTGCTCCCAGTCTTCCTCGGTGAGGTATTCAGGAGTCTGTGGAAAGACAAGAGGAGATGGCATCCCTCATGAAACAGCAGAGGATAGAAAGTCACAGATGTGCCAATAAATAATTGGCATATTCCAATAAATTAGTGCCATTCCAATAAATGGAATAAAAAAACAAACAAACAAGGATGGTGAGAAACTTGCATTCTGCTGCCTGGAGTTTCCAGGCGATTCCTTTGCCCCTTCAGACAGGGCTCTCCATCTTTATGATAATAAAGTACAGGTCAAGATTTACTCTGTCCAGTCATGTCCGACACTAGGGGACAGTCTCATCCCCCTTTTTGGCCAAAACTCACATTTGCATGCTTTCGAACTGCTAGGTGGACAGAGGAGGCAAGTAATGGGAGCTCACCCATTATGTGGAACGTGGGTCTCGGAACCAGGCTGTCAGCCGTCCAGCTGACAAACTCAGCGTCTTTAACCGCTGAGCCATCGCGGCTCATTTTTGTGATAATGGGATTTCCTAAACAAATGGAATTGCACAACCCTCTCATGACTAAAACCGAGAAATATGCATTTCACTTTCTAAAAGAGATGTAATCTTCAGCATCCTTCGATTGTGACTGACTTGGGACAAGTATCTATAAATGAATTGTTTTTAGCTTTTTGTCTTTCTATTCTGAATGGCCAGAGATGTAAAACAATGAAGAGAAATACTATTATGTACCCTTTTGCATTCCTCTTTAGCAAGAAACCATCCACCTTTCACTGGTCTGGTGGACAGTTTTGAAAGATAGTTAGCCAACTCTCAAAACTCACTCCAACTTTTTCTTCCTTGACCAGACTGGTAAACAGAATCACTGCAGTTGTTAAGTGAATCATACAAAATCAATAAGCCAATCTGGCTTCCCTCACTGACTTCCCTTGTTGGAAGCTGGGTGGAGAGGCAAATGGCTCTCCACCAGTGCTCATGCTTACCTTCTTCTGTCCTTCTACTGACTGGTTATCTGGAGGCTGTGGAGAAGAGGCTTCATTTCCAGGCTCCTCCTTGATTTTGGGGGGTTTGTTTTCTTTCCGGATCCGGGGTTTCACATTTTTGGCCTTGTCCTAGGACAGAAGAACAGCACGTGAGGGCACAGATGATCAAAAACCCTTCCTTGCTGGCCAATTTGGTGGGCCCTACCTATATTTGTGCAAACCCTTTCCTGTGTAGAGTCGCCCACCTGACCATCTTTATCCCTCAATGGGGTAGTTTTCTCACGGACAGAAATGATGCACCACTTGGCCCTCCTGGACTGATAGCTTCTTCCCAGGGAGCAGAGGGCAGCTGTGACAATTGCATGAATTCGATTTATGCACTAATTGTGCCTACTCGTGGACAGGCAGGCCCCCTTCATGGTCACTCAAGTTCTAGTTGCTTTCCATTTGGACTACTGCAATGTGGTCCACAGTGGGCTGCCCTTGAAGGCAAGCAGAAACTTCAAATGATCCAAAAGAAGCAGCATCCACAGCTTTGAGCACCCCATGGTTCACTCATGCTATACCACCCTACTCTGTGTGTGTGTGTTCATGTGTATGTGTGTGTATACCAAGATTGGGGAAGACGGATAAAGAGCCCCTTCCAGTTCCTTTACTTCCTTCCTATGTCCATATTTTCCACTACAAAGACTGGAAACTTGAGTTTTGAATGTGCTAACTTCCCAAACAATGCATAAGGCAACTTGGAACCCTTGATAACATAGCAGAAACAAACTCCACGTGATCAAACAGAGCTTTCTCAGTGGCAGAACTGACCTCCTCTGTCTTGTTGTCCTTCCTTTTCATATCTCTTTGGATAAGTTTCATCAGATAATCTACTCGCGCCTGGAGCTGCTTCCCCTGTGGCTTTTTATCTGTCTCCACTGGTAAAATCTGGGGATGGGTGGAGAAGGAATACACATAAAAGAGAGGGACTTGTTTAGAATCATCCAGCTGGCATTGTGTCCAAGGCAGGTCTAGAACTCACAGTCTCCCATTTTCTAGCCTGGTGCCTTAACCAGGACACCAAACCAGCTGTGTTTTATGAATGAAATCAATGCAAAAAACACTGCTTTTCAAAAGGCAGAACCAGTAATCTCCACATCCGGTGCCACCGCTTCCTGCAGAAGTTCTTTTTTCAAGTGTTATAATTTGGTGTTGCATCTGTAAAACATTGACCCCCTCATCTGAAGTTCCTTGTACCTTGTCGGTGAGGTTCAGTTCTGGGTCTGACTTGATGAGCTCCCAGTTCCCACATCCGTGCTCATAAATCCCCCGCAGCAAGCAAGAGTCCTCTTCCACTCCCCAATCTACGTCGAAATGGGCAGATTTGACACGGCAGTTCAGACGGAACCTGCAAAATTGGAAGAGAGGACGGGCGAAGGATGACAAGCGATCCCACGCAAGGCGTCCCTTGTCAATAAAGTTCTACACCACCACCAGATAAGACAAAAGAAAGGCAAAGTTAGAGGTGTGTGTGAAAGTGTGGATATGCACCCACAGGTGAAATTATCTCTTAAACCTCTTCTCACTAGTTAACATAAGTTTCACATAAAGTGAGCAAAGGACCCTTCCTTAATTGCTTTAAGAAGGGACCGAATTCTTGTGAGAACCAGCTATCGAGACCTAGTTGAAAAAAAGGCAACACAGCCGTGGCCTGGAAAAGTCTCTTCTCTCTCCCTAAGTTATCTTCTCCCTGGAGAAGATGGGAAAACAAGATGGCTGGAAATATCTAACAGAATAACAAAGTTGGAAGGGACTTTGGAAATCGCCTAGTCCAATTCCTAATTTAACTGCAGTGATTCACTTAACAATTGTGGCAAGAAAGTTTATAAAATAGGGCAAAGCTCACTTAACAACTGTCTTGATCAGAAACAGAAAATTTGGGCTACATTGTGGCCCTAAGGCAAAGGCCATTTGTAGAAGAACTGTCAAAGAAGACTTCAACAGTCAGAAGACCTGCTGCTAACCTGGTAAATTATCATGGATTGTTCCTTTGGTCTAATCCAGCAATTCTCTTCATATTTTCTCAAAAGGCAGAGTCAAAGTAATGGCTGCCTCTTCCGTATTTACATTTTAAAATCCGTTTACAAGTCTGTTCACATGTTTTTCCAACGTGAAGATCAACAGAGCATAATTAATAACATACTGCCTAAGGTGTCATTTTATTTAACAGCAATGTGTGAATTTCCCCCCTTCCAAATAACTTTTCTTCTTCTTCTTTTGGCCACTCATGGCTCACACACTTGCGCCTGTCTTAGATGGTTATGCTTACCTTGTCCTCTCCACTGGGTCACTGGGAATGGTCTGATGGAGCATTGCAAATTCCTCCTCGTGCTGAATAATCGCTTTCACGTTCACCTGGACTCCAGAGATCTTAATTGTGGGCCCCTTTCTCTTTCCCGGTCCTTTGCCTGAAGAAAAGGAGCCGCACAGTCACAATCAGATGGGGTGGTTTGGGAATCACATTTAAAGTGCATTCAGCACCTGAGACTTTAACATGTTCCCGTTTGGGGGCTAAAGTACCAGCCTGTTATTGTAGGAGAAGAGCAGGCAGAAGTGGGGAGGGTTAGCGTTAAACATGTCATCAGTTTAGAGTCCTTGCATGGCCACAAGTCAGCCTCTCTTGAATTCTGTTGACCCTTATCAGGTGACAATTTACTAAATAACTTTATTTGACTACATTCTTGCATATCAGCTTGAATAAATCTTCTATGCTGCAACTTAACCTATGGTCCCAATACTTTGTACATGGCAATGATTTTGGAAAGAGAGGACAAGTTTTGGCATCATTTTCATTCTTTTCCCCCTCAAAGTTGGCAAACAATTGTGTATTTTTTTAAAAAGACCACTATTCCCAACTGTAAGTCTTTGCTGTGATTCCATCTTAAGATGTGATCTCTGACTGTCTCTAAATGACTTAGCATCACCTTTCCTGGTTTATCCCAAAGGTGCTTTTTCAAGAGGCAATTGGACTTCCAGAAGGTTCAGCTGCCTCTTGAAAAAGCACCTTTGGGGCAAACATGACTGGGATGACTGAGAATCTCCATAGACATTTTCCTAATTTGATGGGAAGTGAAAAAATGGAAACCGAGAAATCACTGGGGAAGATCGATTAAGCAAATACCGAACCAATTATGTGATTATAAAGAACATAATTGCAGAGTTCAGGTTTTCTTAAGCATGAATTCTTCATGTGGTGCCGACTTTCTTTATCTAGAGGCATAGGCTCAAAACCCTGGATTCTGAGCCAGGTCCCTGGGTTGACCACCAACCTTTTCCCATCACAGAAAGCCCCTATCCTCACTTTCAGTTGGGTTCTCCTTCAGATGCTCTTCATACTCCTGCATGGCGGACGCACAACTGTTGTGGAGAAGTTCTCCCAGACGTTTCAGATCAGCTACCGATTTCTCTACCAGTTCGGCATCCCGAGCGAGGCATTCCAGTCTGGAAAAGGAGACGGAATGTAATTGACTCTCCCTCCCTCAACACACCCACAAATTGGATATTATTTTAAAGCACTTCCAGAACATGGATGGACTAAGAATATCTACCAGAAAACGATTAAAACAAAACAAAAATCACAGCGTGAAAGCAAATTACAGTTTATAATTTGGTGGACTGCACGTTCTCTATAATCTGTCACTCACCGCTCCAAAGGAACGCCAAACTTCTTGTACGCCTTGATAAATCTGTGGAATTTAAACAGAAAGAGCAACAACCATTAGAGAGGTTTGTTAAAGGCCTCGATTTCTTTTTCCTCTGCTTGTGGTTCTAGTCACGCCCCTCCTAAATTTAACCCCCTCCAGATGTGCCTCTGAGTACAACTCTCAAGTTGTCAAATATTTACAAACTCAGGTTAAGCCAAGAAAAGCTGCAGAAGCTTTCTTACAATATTTTCTTCCATTTTCTTCTTCTCATCGTTCCTATCACCCATCTCCTCCCACTTATGACTGCATGGCTGTAACTTTGTGCTTGTATCCTTACGATTTATATTGGTTGTTTCCTAATATCATTTGATTGCATATTTCTACCCTATGACAATCATTAAGTGTTATACCTTATGATTCTTGACGAATGTATCTTGTCTTTTTAGGTACACTGAAAGCATCTGCACCAAAGACAAATTCCTTGTGTGTCCAATCACACTTGGCCAATAAAGAATTCTATTCTATTCTATTTTATTCTTATTCTATTCCATTCTATTTTATTCTGCATTCCAATATTCTATTCTATTCTTTCTTATTCTATTCTATTCCATTCTATTCTATTCTGCATTTCAATATTCTATTCTATTCTTATTCTGTTCTTATTCTATTCTGCATTCTGTTCTGTTCTATTCCTATTCTATTCTATTCCTATTCTATTCCTATCCATTCCATTCCTATTCCTATTCCATTCCCATTCCTATTCCTTCTCTTCTAATTCTATTCTATTGCTCAAGATGACTGGAGTAATCTCCCCTCCTTTCATCCCACCACACCTCTCTGGGAAGTAGACTTTGGGCATTCCTCCCACCCTTTCCAGTTCATCTTAGCTCTGGCAAATGATGAAAAACCAGTCCAGAAAAATCCCTGGATTTCTTCCTGGGTGCCAACCTTCTGATTTCAGTGTCTGTAAATCCTTCCACTGTGTCCTTCCGCACACTGCGAGGCCGTCCTCTGCGTTTGGGCCTCTTGTCATCATCAGAGTCCTCTGTCTCGGTATCTGAGCCAGAAGACCTCTGGAGCTTTCTCTTTATTTCAACATCCGAATCACTTTCATTGGGCTGAGCCTGTCGGGGCCAGAAAAAGGCCAGGCTTAGAGAGACCCTTTTTGCTGTTAACTCCAACTGGTCCTCGGCTTACAACAGTCCATTTAGCGACCGTTCAAAGCTACAAGGCCACCGAAAAGGGATTTACGACCATTTTTCACTCCTATCACCATTGTGGCATTCTCTTGGCCATGTCACATACATTCAGATGCTTGGCAACTGACATGTACTTATGACAGTTGCAGTGCCCTCGGGTCATGTGATTCCCCTCTTGTGACCTTCTGACAAGCAGAGTCAATGGGGAATCCAGATTCACTTAACAACCGTGTTACTAACTTCACTGTGGTGATTCACTTAACAAACGTAGCAAGAAAATGGGGCAGAACTCCCTTGACAAATTCCTTACTTTAGCAACATAAATTCTAGGTTCAATTGTGGTCGGAAGTTAAGAATTACCTGTACTTAGCACCCGAAACACTCAATGCTCCATATAGGGATGAGAGATCTAAGGAACAGATGTCACCCATAGTCTTGAGCCTGTGGGTCCCCAGGAACATGCTGTGTGTTTCTCGGCACCAACCAGGGGTGAAATCCTCCCGGTTCAGCTGAACCAGTAGGGACAATTGTCATTGGTTCTATGAACCAGTAGTAAAAAAAAAAAAAAAAAAGCTTCTGCAGATTACGCGGCTCAGCTGTGAGCCATGAGATCGTCGGAAGCTTTTTCTCCGCTTTTTAAAGCATTTTTTCCTGCTGGTTCGGGCGAATAAGCTGGGAAAAAATGCTTTAGAAAGAGGGGAAAAGTTGGCCGCGCCCACCCAGACACATGACCCCCCAGCTACACCCACAGAACCAGTGGCCCAAAAAAAAAAAAAAAAAGATTTCACTACTGGCATCAACCGAAGTGTGAATTTACCCTTCTGCAAAGCTAAACTTCTACTGCATCTCCAGCACAACCATCTACATCTGAAAGTCCTCAATCCTGTTACTGTTTTGAAGGGTTCCCCCCCACCCCATGTGGGATGAGGTGAGATGATGTCCCGTTATGGGTCTTACCCTGCAATAACTACCTTTTTGGCTGAGCTGCGAATCCTTGGCAGCATATATATCTCCTCGAGTTCCTTCTGCCGCTCCTCTTCTTCCACTTTCTTCCTCTGTTCCTCAGGAATGATGTTTTCCCACTCCTTCTGAGATTTCTCTTCCGCCTCGGCTTCTTCGTCTTCCGTTGTAGCAAAGTTGGCTACCTGAGAGGAGAAACAACAAGGTTTTCTATACCAGGCTTCCATAATCACATCCTGGACATAAACTGTTTCAATTCCTTCCCTCAGGTCGCCCCTATAGGGCATCGCGTGTCAAAACAGCTAGAAAGAAAGACAGCTTTTTTCCTCCTGGCATCACTCTGCTGAACACCTAATTGCCACAGAACTGGCTTAAGTCTAAGGGCATTTACCGAAGTAGTAAGGCTGTATTACTATTATCCTTCCCATCTTTCCCACTACCTTCTCCTAGTGGTATCTTAGGATTGTGTGGATATTATTTGATTGTGTATAAGTACACTGCGAGCTTATGCACTAGAGACAAACTGGCCAATGGAGATGCTGCTGTTGCTTCTGGCGTGGTAGCACAGTGGTTAGAATGCAGTACTGTAGCCTATTTCTGCTGACTGCCAGTTGCCAGCAGGTCAAGTCTCATGAGGCTCAAGGTTGACTCAGCTTTCCATCCTTCCAAGATCATAAAATGGGGACCCAGATTGTTGGGGCCAGTATGCCAACACTATAAACTGCTTAGAGTAGACTGCAAAGGACTGTGAATCAGTATGTAAGTTTCATTATTATTATTTCTTCTTCTTCTTCTTCTTCTTCTTCTTCTTCTTCTTCTTCTTCTTCTTCTTCTTCTTCTTCTTCTTCTTCTTCTTCTNTCTTCTTCTTCTTCTTCTTCTTCTTCTTCTTCTTCTTCTTCTTCTTCTTCTTCTTCTTCTTCTTCTTCTCCTTCTTCTTCCTCCTCCTCCTCCTCTTGCTGAAACTCCTCCCAGCCCTAAGATTTACTCCTCAAGATGGTTGTACAGGAATCTTCCTATCTCAACTAGTACTTCAGTTGTTTAGTTGGAGCTGTTTACAAGGCTGTTAATTTTATGTTTCTAACTAAACATGTTGACTTCTTCTACCCCAGATCCCCCCAAGATCTGGGGTAGAAGTTCCTGTACCTTGGATTTTGTACATTAAAAGGTGAGAGAGTTTTTCATAAATTGGAATTTGCATCTCCCCCCCCCCCAATAATTGTCCCCAAGTTTATTTAATTGTGGGTTTTCCTGTTTGAAGTTGTGCTGAAAATATTGAAGGCTTTATTACTTCAGCTTAAAGCCCAATTCCAGACTTACTTACTTACTTTCTTTCTCTTTCTTTCTTCTCCTCCTCCTCTCTCTTTTTTTTCTTTTTTCTTCTTATTTTCAATGATTTCTTTCAGATGCAACAAGTGGATTTGTCTCATGGTGTCTCCATTTCAATTATACATATGTAAGTTTTATGAATATGAAAGTACTTCATATTAATCCCATTAATTTCCCCTTCTGTCACTTATTGTTTATTGCCACTCAATGTGTAGTTTATTGGATGGCAATATTTCAGCATTTTCCAAGTTGCCACCTAGGATTGAACTCTCAACCTTCCGAGTGGGAAGCAAGCGTCCTCACCTCTAGGCCACCATAATACTCCCTTTAATTGCACTGATAACGCTACAAATTCTGAAACCTTTGATGCTCCTTTTCTGGGGCCTTACCTTAAACTGTGAAAGCAGTTCATCAGTTGCACTTGTGGATGGTTCATTCTCTCGTGTCTCAGCCAGGCGTAAGATTTCCTCAATGTCCATTTCCTAGAAGCAGAGGCAAGAGTGCAATCAGACGCGTACCAATATGAAATATTTAATGTTGTCCTTCTAAAGTTCTGATACAGAAATGAACTGGATTGAGTTAAATCTAGGCCAATTTCAAAGGACATCCCAAGGAGATGTCAAGGTAATCTCCACCCAAAAATATGGATCAGAAAGCTCACCTGTGGTTCAGATTCTTCCCCTTCCGCTTCTTTAAAAAGGTCTTCAGCTCCAAACTTCAAGATGGCAGTCAGTTCCTCCTTGTTGAATGGGATTGAACTAAAGAAAAACATGAAGCCATTGGCTTGCACAAAGGTTTCCAGTTTATGGACCATATCTTAGCTCACTTTTCCAGATCTCAAATAATCTAGTTCTTTGTACTACTTATCCTTTGATAAAAAATCACATCCAACTCCTAATCTCTTTTGCGCTGAGGAAACATGGCAATTTGAAATTCTGAGTAGCTAAAATCATTCTTTTTGTCTTTTTAATATCAAACAGTCACTGTTACAAAGGAATTGTTTGTCTTTTAAAAAAAAGACAGTTAGCAACCTTAGCACAAAGCATGTGTTTAGGTATCAATGACCACGTTTGGCTGACAAATATAACCAGCTCATTTTATCTCATTAAACTTTCAAAACAGGGATTGATTCTAATCACTTAGTCTGTATTGCCTGCTGAAGAGAGTATCCCTTCCCACGGAACAATTCAGCCCAATTAAGATTAACAGTCAAACGGTGCCACATAACAGCCATCTTGATCAGCAGACCAGAAGTCTCATCTCCTTACTTGGATCTATCAGAGCTGTTGTCCAAAACTGTCCGGCCTGTGGTGTCCATCCGTTGTATCACAAGATGGTCCAGCACCATCTTCTTCTTCGCTCTTTCTATAATCTCCTCTTCCACTGTTCCCTTTGTAACCAAGCGATAGATATTTACCTGCAGAATCCAGGGGATGTGTGAAATAGCTATAAAGGTAGCTTTTTATCCCTGGTACAGCCAAGGTGAGGTGCAGAAATCTTTCTTGGATCTTTCCCTAGTTCAATGACTGATCTGATCTTTTTAAAGGATCAGGAAGGGACAGATATCAAGGACCAACATGCTGCAAACTGAAAGCTACTGGCTTCTAATACCTTACAACAAAAGTAGAAGTTGCCCCACCAGAACTATTTACCTTTGGAGAAGTAGATGTCGTGTTTTCAGCCATGTCTACCAAGGCAACCCCTTTAGGAGAACTTCCAAATATCTAACTACCAACCCCACCCCACCACCAACCCTTCTCCCAAATTCCCTCTACCTATATTATTTAACTGTCCACTATTTCAAAAAACAATGAAACAAATAACCATTTTTTTCTTTTGCCAGTCTATCTAATATGGAAAAGCCCGGATCTGAAAACCTGAAATCCTGAACTGGGCCAACTGACGAAGAGCCACACCTAAAGTATGCCTGCTCCACAATTTGGTCAAATGCAAACCGCTCACTTCCCACAATCCTTAGTAATAAGTGGAGCTCAACTGGCGGGGGCTACTCAAGCAGACCAATAGGAAGCCCCCTCCCCTAACTGCCTTCATCCCCGGGTTCTGAGTTCTAAATTCCATTGCTCAGTGAGGTAAGAGTCCACTGACATGGCAGACAGCCAATCTGGTCTATGCTTCAGATGTTGGCCTAGAAACCAGCAGACTGGATTTCTAGTCCTGCTTTAGGCATGAGAGCCAGCTGGATGACTTGGGCCCAGTCACTCCTTCTCAGCCCAACCAACCTCACAGGGTTGTTATGGGAAAAACAGTAGGGGTATTAAGTATGTTCACTGCCTGGAGCTAATTATAAAAGTAATAAAGGCAGGATAAAAATTGAATAAATAATCAGAATACTTAGCCCTTGCAATGTTCAGGGGATCTGAAAGAATAGGGTAATCTAGTTTACAGCCAGATAGTACCTGCCTGGAAATTATTTTCTCCCTTTATTTCTTGTAACCAGAGAAGACAAAGCAATTGGGAAGGAATTGATTTCCAGATTGCTACCATCTGGCTGTTTGCTAAATTTTCCTAGTTCTGACTCCTTTCAGATGCCCTGAGTGTTGGCTCCCAGAATCCCCCAATTCCCTTTGCTAGGAACTGAAGTCCACCCCATCTGCAGAAGACCTAAAGGAGGAGAACGTTTCTCACTAACTTGTTTCTTTTGCCCAATCCGGTGAGCCCGAGCCTGGGCCTGGAGGTCATTCTGAGGGTTCCAGTCTGAATCGAAGATCACCACCGTGTCAGCCGATGCCAAGTTGATCCCTAGGCCGCCAGCACGCGTGGAGAGTAGAAAGCAGAAGTCCTAAGCACATGTGATAAAAGGAAACACACATTTAGGTCAGTGTCCGAATAGGTCCCGGGGGAGAGTCAGTAAAGGACCGGTCAAGTGGCAGGAATCGGGGGCACAATGGTTACGGGCCAGCAGGGCTTCACAAACAGATGGAGTCATGTAGGGTAATGCCAAAATTATATGCCTTCTACACCAGTTAAGGTAATCCTCAACTTACAAGCATTCATTTAGGCACCATTCAAAGTTACAACAGCACTGAAAAAAGTGCCTTATGACCCTTTTTCACACTTATGACCATTGCAGCATCCCCTGGGTCATGTGATTTACATCCAGATGCCTGGCAACTGGTTCATATTTACGACAATTGCAGTGTCCCAGGGTTACATGATCCCCTTTTGCGACCTTCTGACAAGCAAAGTCAATGTGGAAACCAGATTCACTTATCAACTGGGCTACTAAAGTGATTCACTTAGCAAACAAGGGCAAAAAAGGTGGGCAAATGTGGGCAAAACTCACTTAACCACTGTCTTGCTTAGCATTGTAAATTTTATGCTCAATTGTGGTCGCCAGTTGAGAATTATCTGTAGTAGCTTACTGACAGAGCAGGGGAGCCTGAACTCCTCTTCTGTCCAAAATGTTACATTAAAATAGGAATAAGAAGAGGCCTCCTCAGAAACACCTCTCTGTTATGCAATACCTATCGAGGTAGTCCTCGAATTGCGACCACAGTTGAGTCCAATATTGAGACATTTGCCAAGTCATTTACGACCTTTCTTGCCACATTGGTTAAGTGAATCACTGCAGTTGTGAAGTTAGTAACACGACTGTTAAGTGAATCTGGCTTGCTCACTGACTTTGCTGGTCAGAAGGTCACCAAAATGGATCATGTGACTCCAGGACCCTGCAAACAGTCTTAAGTATGAAGCAGTTGCCAAGTGTCTGAATTTTGATCATATGATCATGGGGATGCTGCAATAGTCATAAGTGTGGAAAACGGTCCTAAGGTTCACTTAACAACTGCCTTGTCGGTCATGGAAATTCTGCCCCCCCCCCCTATTGTGCCGTGAGTCAAAGACCAACTGTTGGTTGCTCCAAAATTTAATTTCCCGTAATCTACATGCTAATTTGACCCGTTCACTTTTGTCGTTTTAATAAAGACTTCAGTTCTCTGCATCACTTTGGAAATGTAAGCTCTAAATTAAGCACTAAAATTAGTGGGGTTCTTCCTTATAAACAAATCACAGATTGCTCTCTTTATTCCTGTTAAGACGACCAAAAAGTACCAAGAAATTTCTTCCTTTTTCTTCTTCTCTATGTCACCAAGTTCCCTCTCTCCCTAATAAGGTAACCAGCAGAAGTGTCAACAAAGCTGAAAACATGGCGAAGATATGCTGGCTAAGCAAACCATGTTTCCGTTGCGGCGAGAAGCAGAGAGTCAGCTCCTGTGACCTACAGCTGGCCCTTTAGCAAGTCATGAGTGCAAACTCAACTTTTCCTTCCTCTGCCAAGTCCTGCCAGCCTCCATCAGACCCTTTGGATCCCCAGGCCTTTGTCAAAAGAAACACAACTGACACCTTCCTTCAGTCCCACCAAGGAGGCATCCTGTGTTTCCCCCTTCCTAGGCAGCCCCTGCCTCTCCTCCCCACCTGTTTACCCAGCCGGCTCCAGCCATACCTCTGAGCCTTCAGCGTTGAAATGATCCAGAGCCTGCTTCCGGATTTCTCCTTTGATGGAACCGTCCAGGCGCTGCAGAAAACAATGGCGAAGAGGTAAACCTCAACTTGAACCCACCCCAGCGGCCTCCCATGTCTCCTCCAGAAACTCAACTCTCCTGCCGATAGTTTCCTTCAGCTTAGAGCAAGACAACAGTCTAAAAATAACCATGATTAAAAATAACTCAGGCTGTTCCTGCTGCTGGGAATGGTGGCCAGGTTCCTGCAGCCAAGCCAGGCATAATCTATTAAGCGGATTTATAAATAAATAAAAAAAGAGACAAACAGAGATCAGGGAAAAAGTAAGCCACACTGAGAAGTGTGTTTCCCCAGGGTCTGGATTAAATGATATCTTAAAATGGATTACACACTATGATCAAGGGCTGAACAATATGTAGGTTAATACAGGTAGTCACAACTGAAACTGTCCCAACTGAGCCCACCATTTCTCTGATTAAAGTGAGTTCTGCTCCATTTTACAACATTCCTTGCCACAATTGTTAAGTGGATCATCACTTAGTAACAAGGTTGTTAAATGGATCCGATTTCCCTGTTGACTTGCTTGTCAGGTCACAAAAGGGGATCCCATGATCCCGGGACAGTCTGATGGTCATAAATAGGAGTCAGTTGCCAAAGCATCTGAAATTTGATCAGGTCACCATGGGGATCCTTACAAAGGTCGTAAGTGTGAAAAATGTCACTTTTGTCAGTGATGTAACTTCGGTCACTAAATGTACTGTTGTAAGTCGAGAACTACCTGTATTAGCTTTTTTTTTTTTTTGAAGCTACAGTTCCTTTGAATTTATTTTTTATCACTGTTACATCGTTTTGATCTTTGTTCAATCTCGCTATTAGTTTTGGGTTTTCTTCCTTTTTCTAAAAATTATTTGTGTTTTGCTTCTTTTTTCTTATTGATTAAAAGCAATAATTTAAAAAAGGAGACCCAGCAGATTTTATTCCGCTAATTGCTGCTGACTGTAGGGACCGGTGCTCATCTCCATTTCAAGGCCATTGAGCTAGCGCTATCTGAAGGTATTTTTGCAGTCATGTGGCCAGCATGATGTCACAGGGCGCTTTATTTCCCACTGAAGTGGTAGCTGTTAATCTACTTGCATTTGCATGCTTTGGAACTGTGAGGTTGGCAGGAGCTGGGGCAAGGATCACTAAAATTAAAAGCAATAAAAATAACTAAAATAATCTTTCTCAGTAAGCAGAAAAAAACTTTCCCATCTGGTATCTTCCAATGTCTGCCAAGGGAGAACAGAAAGTAGAACCCTTGCCTATTTAGCCAAGATCCTCCAGAAAAGCTGCATGGTTCAGCTATCTGCAAACATTTCTCTTAAAGCTGGTCTTTCTCCCTCATTACCAATAAGGCAAAATACACTTGAGTGCCTCCTGCTGCCCCACCACCACCATATCTATCTATCTATCTATCTATCTATCTATCTATCTATCTATCTATCTATCTATCTATCTATCTATCTATCTATCTATCT